TCCCATAGTTTCACTACCTAGAAATTCTTGATGACCAAAATTACACTTCCGGTCCCAAAAAGCTTCTATTACCGAGGTTATAAGCCGGTGCCATTATTAATCCATTGCCCCAGCTTTATGAGTTATTTTATTTATTTATTTTTCATAACCAAACCTCGTTATTCTTTCATCGTCGATAAAATCTTGTAAATTTGACTAGTCCCGACAACCTTCTCTCTCGTCGCGAGGCATACCGGCACTTTCCTTTTAAATTAACCTACTTGAATTCACCGCAGCAATTCGTGTGTCGCTCGTTGCAAAACTTAATTTTGTTTCGTGACCGACGGCGAGGGAAGAGTCTCCTTAGGCTTCTATATTCACAAATCCGCCATTACGCCGCTAACAAACAATATTTTCTTATGTATGATTATCGTGCCTGTCACTACCTCGAGTTTTCATGATAGCAATGATACTTGTTGAGACGAAGTGGTGGGGATAGGAGAAGAAAATTGCACCTCGTGCCAGATATTGCAATATTGGCATAATTGATGATGCAAAAATTAAATTCTCGCTCAATAGCAACACGCAACCTCAAGCTGTGAGGATTTTAGAAAAAAAAAAAATTTTTTCCCAACAAAAAAATTTGCTCGAATTATACTCTTAGATAGAATACACAGTACGGTATCTATGTATGCCTATACATATATGTATATTTATATATAGGTTTTTAGTCCACGTGAAAATTATCGCGATGAATCCTCGCAATGTATCAATGTTATATTTATTTTTTACACAAGAGGGAGTAACGGTCATTTAACTTATATTATGTACCTCCCTCGCGAAATTGCGCAATAATAATTTATCTCCTAGTCCATGCATAAGCCCCATGACATAACTGTCATAATAGCTAAGGCTGGTTACATGCGAATATATTCGATACGATTATTCACAGAACTCTGTACGCCTTCGTTACCGACACGTGTCTTGTGGATATGGTTTTTAATTTCTATGAATATTTCATACGGGTCGTCGTATCTGACTAGTCGGTTCTCTTGATAGAAAACGCAAGACAGACTTCTTCTGGTTTCCTCAAATGGCAATCATGATTTTCAAGGCTCCATGCTCTTAATCGTTACTACCAGCAACAGCCAATCTCTGTGATTCACAGTCTCGTTAGACGTCGTCCGTTTGCGATTTCCATATCTTCCGGTAAATTATTCACTGTTGCACGTTTAAGTTCCGCGTGAAGAAAATGTCCGATTGGATTTACGATAAATGTAAATTTTTCATAAATTATCAAAGGTAGCTCGGCCGGTAGGTAGGCGCGACTTTTTTGAATTAATATGCATGGAATTTAAAATTTTCGTAAATCAATGACGTCTGTATGAAATATAATTGATTTGTATAATTATCGAAAATATCGTGACCCTAATCGTTGACAGACTTTCGATAAGATTTTCAATGCACCGTTCGACCGTAAAGCTCTGGGATACGCGAGAGAGACGACCCCATTGCTTGTTCTGCTGTATCCAATTTTCTGGGTCATTAATGGTCGACAGTCTCGAATCTTCATATACAGGATGCACGTTATCCACAGAGACGAGCAAACTTCGTAGATAGATTACGGGATTTCTTTGTCTCGTTACGTCGAATACTTTGAGCTTTGTTACTTATTTGATTAGATTTCTTATCGCGCACAGTCATACACAAGAGTGAGGATCGATGCGACAAGATTCCAGGAGTATTCGTGAGTTGAACAATTTGACTGGAGAAAATGAGTATCCCAAGGACGAGTGACTGTAAAAATGAAACTGGTCGAGGAACTTTTTTTTATTGGTCTGCATAAAATCCGCATAGTGACTTTTGTACGTATAATTTTGCTTTTTTTTTTTTCTTCATTGAAGCAGCCGCTTATGCATTTATGTATGTTTGGTCTCGTTGCGAGCTGTGATTCACTGCGTGGACTTTAGTCGCGGCCTGAATCTCTGGGCTTCTTTGTTTCATGCTCTGTCTTATACACTGTATCGAGTTCGACGTTAATGTATGGTTTTTAATTATTTTTTTTGTTTTTACAGATTTCAAGACCATTCTCAAGTCCGTCAGTGGAAGGCTCAGATCTGGAGAACTTACAGCCATTATGGGGCCTTCCGGAGCCGGAAAATCGACGCTTCTTAATATTCTCACGGGATACAGGTGAGTCGACGAAGACGATGGCGACGGATGCAAGGAAAAGAACGGATTTATTTGTTCTATTCTTAAGGATCCTGTCTATTTGCTTAACTGAGAAAAATAATTACTCCGCTGACACACAACTTTATTTGTAACCGGGGTGATTGGCATCCATTGATATGATTTATGAAATTGAAATAGCACATCGATATTTCGTATAACCATAAGCACAAATGGTCTTTACGTGTCTCTGTCGTGTCCACGCAAATGTATTAGCTCGTTACTCGAAGCTATTCATAACCAACGAACCATCGGAGCTTCTACGAATCATTACCAGACTGGACAATTACTCGTGTGGCTGAATAGCGAAAAACATTAATTTTTTCATGGAATTTAAATGTATTAAAAGAAGGAAGATTTATGCTGCTTAGGATTAATCGAATAATAATAAATTCATAGTAGGGTATTTTAACTCATAGCGAATATCATTAGTGAAATTTGTGTCATCAATTGTTATTGACGTTTTTTTTTTTTTTTCGTTAGTGACGTGTCTTGTCCTTTAGCGATTAAATTCGTCAACTTGGTACGACGATAACGGAAAGTTTTTTTTCTCTCTCGTAAGCCGTGGAATATTTTGGTTTCTCATTTGCCCGAAAGGTTCACTAGATTTCCACGAGAGCCAAAGGCTAAACTCTGCTATTCAATACGCGATACGATTTCACTGTGCGGTATGCGAGAAAAGGCGGGAAATTCGAAATTACGTAATTTCCAAATTGAACTTCGGATGTCGTACGGTCAGTTTTCAGAAATTAAAGATGCAACGAGTCAATCGCCGAGCACGTGATTCGTATACGAGACACAGCTGGTATAATAATTGATCGTGACGGACATTTGTTTTTCAGAATAAAATTGAGCGGGAGTATATTACAAAAGCAGCCATTCTTCAGCAGGCATTATGGTTACTTATGCAAGTCGCATTGCACGCGAATATTTCGTTCACGATTATTTCGTTCAGCAGGATTCTTCGAGCGATCCGTGAATTCGCATTGAGAATAATTTTTATGTTTTTCGTGATTTTTTGCCCGGACGATAATTCAAAAAAATTTATATCGACTGATCAACGCCCGTTACGTAATATCCGGTATGACCAACGGAAACAAAGGTGACGATAAGCGGCACAGGCCAGTGTATGATAATGAGGAGAATCCATTCTGACGATCATAAAAGAAAAATTACAATTGCATCGTACGACTCTAGTGAATCGTCGTTTTTCATACATTGCCTTGTAATATCATCCGTGACGTTAGCCGTTTTCGAAAGTTTCACTCGCACGAAGAAAGTAAAAGGTTGTGGACGAGCGAGCAGTCTCACTTTCTTCATTCTGGCGTAGAAATGCTCAAGATTATTGGTTGTTTCACTGTACCTATATATATGTACATATATATATTGTATACATGAAAATTGCGTTTTCGCCATATTTTTTCCGTCCTTGCCCATCGAAATAACGCGATATCAAATTAAAGAAAAATAATGATATCGATGCTTCCATTTTATGCGTTTCTAGGTTTCTTTTTTTTCCACTTGGTATTTGCATTCACGTGGCGTCTGGGTCAGGTCATTGTTCAAGGATGATATTGTTACACAACAAAATTAAATATTTTCATTGTCCGACAGTCATTTTCCATGCGGGTATCGTAACCCGATATCTTTTTTCTTCCTTTTCATTACTAGGAGACACAACAATTTATCCTTGAACTTGGTGACTGTCGTCTTTCCGTTGGTTGCTTATTTGACGACTCCGTGTATTTTCAGGACTACGGGAATGGAAGGCAGCATCACCATGAATGGACACGAACGAAATCTCAGCGCCTTCAGGAAGCTCTCTTGTTACATAATGCAGGACAATCAGCTTCACGGTAACTTGACCGTCGAGGAGGCTATGAAGGTCGCGGCAAATTTGAAACTCGGAAGTCACGTCAAGAAGGCTGAGAAGGAAGAAGTGGTAGGTCAAAATATAATTGATGTTGTTGTGATTTTCGAATCTTCGTTCTCTTATTTAATCAGGCACGGATGCTGCCACTAGTCTTTTTGAATAGGCACGTAAGGCGTTATTTGAAGTAAAAGCTAATTAGCGACTGGAAAAAGGTAGACATAAAGACATTACCGAATGTCAAAATAAGTCTGACGTTATACCGACGAAGAAATTTGTATGTGGCGATAACATTGTTATCTGAGGTCGACTCACATCTTTTCTTTCTCCCTGTCTGATACAGATTCAAGAGATCTTGGAAACTCTGGGTCTAGCTGAGCATCGCAGAACCATGACCTCAAACCTCAGCGGAGGACAGAAAAAGAGACTTTCGATCGCCCTTGAGTTGGTCAATAATCCTCCCATAATGTTCTTCGACGAACCCACCAGGTGAGCTGTTAGTCCATTTAATCTCTATGCAGACAAACGTTTATATCGTCTGGACGATTGGATCCTTTTCGATTTTTTTTGTTTTCATTTTAGACGCGAAATGCGTGTGACTCGGATTATTTTCTTTTCGCGATTTTGTCAATTGAATACTTGTTGACCGTCAAAGTCAAAATATCAAATTTTAATATTTTATTTGAGGAGCCAACCGAGCGGCTAGTTTAATTTACTATTGAGCTATGAGACACCATGGGCAAGTATTTAAATGATTTTTTAAAGCAACTTTTGTATAATATTATGTATATCCTCCTCGAACGTGTTATTCGACATTTTACGTAATGGACTGTTCCACGAGTATTTCGTGAAAACTAGTAAATCTTTATACTTTGTGTTTTTATTTCTGGTGTTTCTCTTTTCTTCTCGCATACTTAGCAGTACATTGAAGAGGTTCAGGCATTAATGAAGTGTTGATCAAGATCTAAAGGCGTGATACGTCGAGCGTTGAAACGTCCAACCACATTCTGCAAATAGAATGAAACGAAAAATTGATTCTGAACGATACAGCGAAAGTTGTCATTCCTTCTGTTGGGTTATTTGATATGTAGTCGCGTCGTGAAAACTGCCCATGGAGCCTTTTCGTCTTCGGTCTAACTGGTTTTCGCAAGGTCTTCAAGGATTGTAGTTATAAATTTATTTTCATAAAAACCCTACAGGGTAAAAAGATCTAAAAAGAGGAACTGGTCATCAAGTAGATGATTCAAGGTCCAGTAATCACACGTTCCAACAGAAACAGGTCCTATCGATGATTGTGCCCCGATTACCATAATTTATGGAGCATTCCTGTGGAATTTCTTTAAAACTATTTTATTTCCTTTCATTTCAGTGGCCTCGACTCATCCTCCTGCTTCCAGTGTATCTCCTTGCTGAAGACTCTGGCACGAGGTGGACGTACGATAATATGCACAATACATCAACCTAGTGCGAGGCTGTTCGAGATGTTCGACGCTCTTTACACCTTGGCCGAAGGCCAGTGTGTTTATCAGGGTTCGACCTCGCAACTGGTGCCATTCTTGAGATCGTTAGGATTAAATTGCCCAAGCTATCACAATCCAGCTTCCTTCAGTGAGTCTGGCTTTTACTCAATTTCATGTATTTACATGCTTCAAGTGTGGCGGTTAATTTCTTTTTTTTTTCTTAAATAAATTCAGTAAAGCCATCCAGTTTGAGTTTGAATTGATGTCGACACGCAAACTGGAAACTACGTCTAAACTTTCTGATTATACATTGCAAAATAACAAGTCACTCTTTTAATGTCCATACAATTAACACCATCCACGTTTTGCGAGCAGTATATTGTAGAGGATTGTTTCTATTGTCTAAGGACTCGCATAACTTTAAGACAGTCATTTTTTAAGACATTTTATATTAAGTTGCTATGTCGTTATGTTTCCGATGGATGAAGCACGTAGTGTAAATTATTGCAGTTATAATTTTTTGTTGAAGCTCTAAAGTTCTTTTAAATTTATTAAACAGACTATACTATCGCTGTTGACGCAGATCAATACGTCAATGTTTCCTTGATGGACTCGAGATATTTAAAATTGTATAAAAATTTTCCCTTATTGCTATTTTCCAGTCATCGAGGTCTCATGCGGCGAGTATGGCAACAACATCAGGAATCTGGTGAATGCTATTGACAATGGGAAATACGACATAAGAGCGGGACATTCCTTTCCTGAAACGAAATCCACGGAGTTAAACAACTCAAGCCTTTCGAAGGACGAAAAAGACTTGAAAAACATCCCCGTCGAGGATAAGAATGACGCGAGCAATCTTAAGGACAAGTTCCCGGAGAGCAAGGCAAACAGGGCTACCAACGGCGGAATTATTCACAGCTACGCCACCGACGACATTGTTAAACGGAGTACGTTGACTTTTTAGTTCTTAACTTGATCATCCTGCTGTTATTAACGGCCAGCAAATTGGCCTATGAAGTCTTGCACGGAAACACAGAGGATCATTCAGAAATCTCTAGTCTGTTATGGAACATATACGTTAATTTCCTGTGTTTTTCGGAATTATTAATTTTAACCTGATTTCCTTGCGCCGTAGGTGACGTGGCAATTCGTATGGATCGTCAGAATAAAAAAGACAACGTGGACACAGCGTTGTTGGATGACTCGTTAGTCATCACGCCGGAAAGGTACCCAACCTCGGAACTTACCCAGTTCTGGATCGTTCTCAAGCGGACCTTACTTTTTAGCAGAAGAGATTGGGTATGATTATCATATTTCATTTATTCTTTACATCAGAATGTCTCCGAAGAAGAAATTATTAATAGCTGTCGTCTTGATTGTTTTAGACTCTCATGTATCTTCGACTCTTCGCACACATTCTCGTCGGATTTTTAATTGGAGCTCTTTATTATGACATTGGCAATGACGGTGGCAAAGTACTCAGTAATCTTGGGTTCCTGTTCTTCAATATGCTCTTCCTCATGTACACGTCCATGACCATTACTATTTTATCTTGTGAGTATCCGATGCCCGATGAAACTTTATCTCGATCTTGCATTGTTTTCTATAACGATTTTTTTTTTTCGCTTTCCTTAGTCCCTCTGGAGCTGCCAGTACTCCTAAAAGAGAACTTTAATAGATGGTATTCTCTGAAATCCTACTACCTAGCCATTACAGTTTCGGACGTACCTTTCCAGGTGAGCTTAATAATAAACGTGCTGCATTTTGATTTGCATAGTGGGTATAGTATCGTTTGATTTAATCATTTTTTATTATGTCCTCTAGGCAATATTCTGTATAATTTACGTGACCATCGTATATTTCCTAACGAGTCAACCACCGGAAGTGATGAGGTTCAGTATGTTTATGGGAGCATGTTTGCTGATTTCCTTCGTGGCCCAGTCAGTGGGTCTAGTCGTGGGAGCAGCCATGAATGTCCAAAACGGGGTTTTCCTGGCGCCGGTAATGTCCGTGCCGTTCCTCCTATTCTCTGGATTCTTTGTGAGCTTCGACGCTATTCCGATCTACCTCAGATGGATCACTTATCTGAGTTACATCAGATACGGCTTCGAAGGTACTGCTCTGGCTACGTATTCTTTCGACCGCAAGAATCTGAGGTGCTTTCAGGCGTACTGTCACTTCAAAAATCCACAAACTACCTTGGAGGAACTTGACATGGAATACGCGGACTTCACTCTTGATATTCTAGCGCTTTTACTTATCTTTGTACTTTTACGAATCGCCGCGTTCCTCTTCTTGCGCTGGAAACTCAAGGCTGCGCGATAAGCTCGTCTAAAGATGTTGATCAAAGTACAGAGGTTTCGCGTTTCGGTCCATTGGCCATTATTAATGGAGAAGGTTCTGCATAACCTCAAGTGCAATTGCGATAACCTTTGCACTGTACATTATTAAACGGAAATCGCATATGGTCTTAGTAGAGAGAGTGCAAAAGAAGTTATTACATGGATGACTCGACGGTGCTGTTGAATTCCATTATAATGAACAAAAGAAATGATTTTTAAAAAAACATAAGGAAAACTCGACTTTCTCCTTTAGGAGAGAAACATTCTTTGTCACTCATCGTTGCAAACGGAAAGCGGGTGCACACTAGGTCTTTGTAGATATTTTAGGATTTCGAGGTCTAGCAAGGACAGTTAATACATAAGTCCTTAATCTAGGCAAATATATAATTTATTTATCTCTTTATAATGCAAACAAAGTAATGGTAACTTAGCATGACCTAATTCACACTTCAGGGTATTTTCTTTCTCTCGTAGTAGACTTGTTATGTATTATAGAAAAAAAAAAAAAGAAAAGGAAAGACATTGTCAGTTCATACAGCGTGATACAACCGTCCCACGAGAATCGAATCCGACACTGAACCTAATCAAGATCGGATGTTGAAAGAAAAATAATAACAAAGAAAATGGTACGATACAATGCAAAATGCATCTTCTTCATTAATCACGAAGTGAGTTCCCAGTTGCCTTATAACATACCGTCCGACCGTCTTCATAATTGATAACATCGTGTTGAGTCCCTTCGTTTGGTCGATAACAAAAAATTCGAGAATCCCCGACATTTTTCTTACTATATTCCATTAATGGCTGTGAGCATGAAATACAATAGGGAAGAAAACTCGCGGGTCTGCCAGCCAGTGCGAGAATAGATGAGGGACAATGTCCTAATAATAATTAATACGAGTCTTTATCTTGCCAGAAATTGTTAATCGCTATTTACTTTGCTTGACGACCAAATATTGTTGCGAATTGCAAAGTGGGTAGCAAGAGAAAAACGGGAATAATTAATCATTGCAAAAAAATAGTCCCATCATGGCTAATCGCGACGTGGTCTGCAAGGATTTTTTTGTCACTATATTTTCTAATGTTGCAATGCCAAATGGTGCTTTGTGTGCGAGTTCTTTTCCGCTCTTCTCTCGCACCCACGATTTTCAATAACTATTGTTGACTGCAAATCGCGTCATATACATTTGCATATATAATATATGCATCAAGTAATTATACGATAAATCATGTGTGAATACTGATTTCGTGCGATATGGATAATGTGTATCCTACTCTATCGCTTATTATTGTTTGTGTATCAATCGTATGTAATTATGCCAGACACGGCGTAATAAATGATGTATTTTATAATAAATATTTGTTACGAATAAAGCGTCTTGTTTTTAGAAATTGTGCTTGAGGTTGTATGAGATTTGCTACGTCTTTGGTTACTAATCAACGAAAGGAGGTCATACTCCCATGTTGCTTGCGTCACCCACCGAGCTCCATGCGGTCCATACAGCTGATCTTATACTGCTGCTCATAATCAGTGTTGTTCATAATATTATACATCATGGTATAGTACGTGTCGTTTACGGCACGTGAATGAAGCTGATTGAGTTTATGCATTAGTTGCACAGTGATACATTTACGACGGTATTCGAACTGGAGCTTTAATCGTACATTGAAATGTTGAATTATAAGTGAACTCGTCATCTCTAGTTTCTATTGGTTAATTATAACTTCCATCGTAATTGCAAGTCGTAAACTGCATAGAATAGTACATTATGATACAAGAGCGGAAAGTTGGTCATTTATGACGAGTGTGACACGAGTCAGGATCGTGGCAAACGTCATACGAGTAGGAATCACCAACCCGCACGCGTATCATATACTATTTTTTGCAACATATGCACCAAAAAGAAGCACGAAATGGCCGATTCTTAATGAGTTCAGAGTGTGCGGGAATCATCAAGAATGGACCATTTTGTGCTTGTTTTTTGGTGCACAAACTGTATACTTTCCGTACAGCGTTGCAAAATAATGATTTCTAGACTTTCGCACCAAGGAATTTGATCGGCTATAAAACTGATTCATATTGGGAATTTTTTCTGAAATTTTAAATGACCTCTTATCGGAGCTTCGAAAAATTCTATTTGGCCTTGTCTCATTTCGAAACTGTGTTATGGCTACAATAAAATGAAATTGGAATATTGAGAATTTGTTTAATGGACTTATGACGTGTTGAAACAAAAAATCGAAGTAGTTCAACGCTATATTAAAATTCAAAAATTTTGAAAGCACACCATTCATGATTGCTTGACAGAATAGACCGGGTGGGTATTAATTGTATAACTTTTTGCCTACCACAAAGAAGAAAGATGTATTAACGCCACATTCGATTATATACATCAGTTGTTTTGAAATAAAATTATTAACAGCTGGTATTATTAATAGATTGATTTAGCTACGATTCAATTTGTGTTACCATCGGAGCAAACTGTTGGAACGTATTTGCCTTGCATAAAAATACGAGTATTTCGTTTCACAGACGTCACATATGTGGAAGTAGCTAATTACAGGACGTCAGCGATTATGAAATGCAAAACTTGGTATCATAAGACTTGCTTAAATGGTGTCATAATTATTCGTACGAATGCTAAATAATGAAGAGATTTAAAATCCAAAATAGAGGTACCATGCTATCGATCACGGAGCGTACTATATATTTTACTTATTCTATATTAACGCTTATTTGTTATTTGTGCAGAGAAAGAGGAAAATCTAGAATTCCAAAGAAGTTTTACTAGTATGAATGCTTGCGGTATCATTTGTAAAAGATAACAGCTCAGTGCGACTGGCATTACAAATAAAATCTCGATAGGTATGCGTTAGACTGAGAAAATCGCGTTGAAAAATGGTGGGAATGCTTTAGCCTAAAGAGGGGAAAGGGCTAGGAGAGAGAGGGAAATCTGGCTTGTAGTATACAACGCAACAGCAGAATCGACAGTGCTGTTTCATGTTCCTTGTACGTGCATTTCTATACAAGTCTGTTTATTAGAGCAAGACAATGGTCAGTCGTTTGATAAATTTGTGGCTTCTGCTAGTATCTATATTTGTAATGACAAATGGGTGAGTTTTCTCATCTTCTTGTGAGTTACATAATTTACATAAGCATAGAAACATTGAGAGCCTAAATAAATTATTTGTTTAACACATTATGGTATTATGGTTGTCATCCAGATGGTGTTCCAAAAACATTTGGTGTAATATTTTATAGACAAACTGATATTCTTAGTAAATTGTAATTGTTTAAATAAAAAATTAGAACAAGAGTGACATGTCTTTATAGATCACAATACACAAAGCACTTGCGTTTTTTGGTGTATCTACATTGATAAGTAAAGTCTTTCGTCTTCAGATTTTCTGAAAACAGTGATGGCAGACACAAAGAAGTTTCAGGATCAAACGAGTTTGATCTTTTAATCTTCACTCAACACTGGCCTCAAACTGTTTGCTATCAATGGAAGGAGGACACTGAGTCGCATGATTGCAGTTTGCCAAGAGATGAAGAGTGGACTATTCATGGTATTTGGCCTACGCAGTATCACAAACTTGCACCACAATTTTGTAATCACTCGTTACACTTCAATGCCAGTGCCCTGGCACCTCTTGAGGATCAGCTCAATGTAAAATGGCTTGATGTCGAGAAGGGAACTGCTCGATATTCGTTCTGGAAGCATGAATGGCAAAAGCATGGAACTTGCGCAGTAGTTCTTGACAGTATTAATACAGAAGTGAAGTATTTTCAGAAAGGTTTGGACCTTTTAGATAAGTACGACATGAAACATGTTCTTGGCAAAAAGAATATTGTGCCTGGAGATAATCACTCAGTACAGGATATCCTTAATGCCATAGAAACGATTTTGGGGAAGAGATGCCAGGTGGAGTGTATAACTAATTCAGTAAGTAAATACTAACTAAAATACAGGCTCTTTTAGTGTTAAAATATACAAATATTTTTAAGTATTGTACAAATTGTCTAATAAATTCTGTGGCTAGAATAAGTCATCCACATGCCTCTGCGCGTACCAAATTTCCAATAAAATGTGCATGTATCACATTTTCTGTTTTAGAAAACAAAACAGTCTTATTTATTCGAGATAAGGATATGCTTCAGCAAAACATTCGAATTAATACACTGTGACGGAATTCATGGATTTCCCACTAATTGCGATCTTAAAAAGAACGTGATATATCCGAGCAATGTACCAGTGGACTATCGTGTCATTCAAATTTAACAATAGTACATTTTTTTAATGCTATACAAAAATGTGGTAGATACTTAATGAGGCAACTATTTCTTAACTCTCTTTCTGTTTAGCTAATATAATTATAAATAATTTACATAGACCATTAACACAATTATCGAGGACCTGATGATTTTTAGTCAATTCTAATGTCATTTAAATCAAATTTACATATTTTAAATCATATTACGTAAGACGAATGCACGTTATATTAATAGCGTTCAATTAATCATGTACATCATTATACCAGAATAAATATTTATTTTTAAACGGGTATAGCCTATTTTCTCCACTTTTTAAATATTCCTTCTCAATCCATTTACAGCTGTAAATTAAACTACTGAAGTTCTTATTTCGCGGGAAGATAAATCTTCAATTAATGAATGATGACTCGGTTAATATGAAACTGATTTAATTTATACTATCTTAATGCAATTGTTGGTATAATATTGTAAGAGAATGTTTTGGCTTACAACTCAGCCAGGGATGCAAATTAGCGTCTAGGATCACTCCGACTTTTTCTGCACGATTATCACAGCGGACGGTACCAATCCTGAAACATTTTACTTTGTAAACTTTGTACTTATTAGTGAAAAACAGTGATACATTGAAAGATTTAACTGCTCAGATTTCAAGACGGCTATCATAAGTATATAAGTGTAATTCAAGATGAATGAGTCATTATGTAATCCATAACTGAATTATCTTGCCTGCAGCATACAGTCATTGCACCGTGTGGATATGTTTTCATGTGATACGCGACTGACGCATTATCTACAGTTACTAACCTAAGACTTCCAATGGCGTATCATAGTCCTCTTCCATAAAAACTTTCTTAGGAAAATTTGTCATCAAATTAAATGGCCCTGGACTGTCTGTCCTGTTTATTTCGATGAAAAGACGTACAGCCGATAGCTGCTCCTTACTGCCAAATGTTTCCGTTAACGTTTGACCGTTTGTAAGTCTAATCTAAATGCAATCGATTGTGACAGTTGAGCAAGGTTGTTTGAATATTTAATTAGTTTTTCAAACACTTTTGAAAGTACAGTTACCTGTAATTTTGTTTCAGTGTAGTCTTTTCTAGGGGTAGACACTAAGGATGTCGATGAAGCTGTGGAAGGCACCGGTGCAGTTAAAGGTGCTTGAGGAGATGTGCCCATGGCTTTGGCTTTCCTCGCTGCCTTATCTGCTTCAATTTGAGCCTTTACACGCTGACGTGCTAACTTTTCTTCCTCCTTTTCACGCTTTCTTTGTTCTAGTAGTTTTTTCATTTCTAATTCTTCCAATCTGTTGTAAAGATTTTCATAATATAATAAAGAAGGATGTGTACAATGAGCATGAATGAAAATTGTAAATATGATGAAAATGAAATTAAACATTATTTTGTTGTAAAAACGCACTTCTTTCTTGCCTCTGCCATTTCTTTCCCAGAGCGTATCCTACTTCTCTCTCTCTCAAAAGCTTCCTTTTTCTCTACCTCCTCCCGTTCTTTTCTCTTTTGTCGAAGCTTTTCCTCAAGCAACCTAAGTTGCTCTCTTTTCTCTTCTTCCGTCAATGCTTTTTTCTCTTCAGTACTTTCAGAGAAACTGTCATGACCAGATTTTGTCGCATGAAACTCAACCTCCAGATTCGTTTTGAACAACTTTCCACAACTAAACAATGTTTCATAAAAAAATTAGAATCTGATTAAATAGACTCAACAAATAGGACAATAGCTAGCTAAGCTTACACATCACATTTAACTGATTTGGCAATTTCAGCAGGTTGTTCATTACTAGTACTAGCAACATTATCTTGAGCCGGAGCTTCATTTGCAGGTTGAGGAGCAGCTTCTGCAACTGGCGGTTCTGGACAAGGTTCAGCATCATCCGCGTGAGCCAAAAGCCTAAGACCAGTGAAAGAATATTTAACACATGATGTAAATCTAAATAAATATTTCAATTTATACCATTCCATTGCCGGCTCTACGCCCTTATTTCCTGTAATTTCCAGAGCCCGTTCTCTAAAATCAAAAGAGTCATCAATGCTAAGAGGTTAATAACGCTTCAATGACTTTACCACTATACTTACGCTTTCTTCAGACTAAAACCCATATCCACGAGCATCGCAATATCCGCCGAAGACATTGTTCGTTGTCGTTCTTATTGACTAATAAATCAAACGGTCAGGATAACTCTAATAAACCCTAATCGGAAAAAAAGTAAATGTCATGTCAGACAGACGCGCTATATATACCATGTACGAGAACGCGGGTAACGCGAGACTAGCCGGAAATGGCGTAAAGATAGCATTATATCTTATTCTCGAGCGCGGATTTGTGAATATTGGTACATTTTATTTTCTTTGTAAGATTAAAATAAACGATACGTAGGAGTTAATTTCAGTTTATTCCAATTAACATTTGTCTTCATGTAACAAAAACATTGTAACATTCTAAATTCCTGGGATTTATTCCATTTTTATTAATGATCATTTATGAAACACAAGTATTAAATATAAAATGAACAAAACAAACACACTTTATTAATTATTAGTTATAAATGCAGGGTTTAATAGGTTTTCTTGAATGTATTCATATCTTGATTGATTTTAATATTCTTGTGAAGCCTTGTCACCCTTTCCGGAGCTTCCACCAGTGCCAGTTTTTTTAGGCAACAATACAGCCTGGATATTTGGCAGAACACCACCCTGAGCAATTGTTACTCCTGAGAGAAGTTTGTTCAACTCTTCGTCATTCCTGATTGCTAGTTGCAAGTGACGAGGAATAATTCTGTAACACAGACACAAAAAATTCTTTGCTATAACATAAATATCTTTCATTCAATGTAAATAGAATGAAATAGAATCAAAAACCTGTATAAATCCAGTAAATTTAATCATACAGTTGTATGACAATATCGAGTCACCTTCACGTATTTCAAATTAAGTGTATTAAAATTCGTTTGAAATTTCAAGGAAACGAACACAATGAAAAAAAAAGACAATCGTTGAAAATGTTACATTCCTCTAAGATATTTTCCTCAAGACAAATGTACCACAAAACGACAAAATCGTGAAACTCCACAGACCTCGTCTTTTTGTTGTCCCTTGCGGCATTTCCAGCTAACTCAAGTACTTCAGCCGCAAGATACTCCATAACGGCTGCAAGATAAACGGGTGCGCCGGCTCCAACACGTTCAGCATAATTTCCTTTCCTTAGAAGACGATGGATCCTTCCTACAGGAAATTGAAGTCCAGCTCGGCTGCTACGCGTCTTCGCTTTACCTTTTGTTTTGCCTACACAAAGAAGTCCAAATTTCATGCCATTAAATTCGATGAATTTACCACAATGAAAAGTCCACACGAAAACAAATACTTACCACCCTTTCCTCTTCCGGACATTTTCTTTCTTTGATTTTTCTGGAAATATTTCTTGAGCAATTCCAACCACTGCTCGCGGTTGTTCGGTAGCGAATGAGCTTGTATTGGATTCTCGGCTGTTACAAGTACGTTAGGTTTTTTGGCGGCTGCCGTCCGGTTGGCGTATGTTTACGCGGGAATGCCTGTACGACGTAAAGGCTGTGGTTTTTGACATCATTAAGAGACAGAATATCCCTAGATGACTGCTGCTACCTAGATCTTTACGTAATTTTTAGTTAAAAATACAAACAATATATATAAGATAAAAGGCAATGGATTCTTGTTGCATCCAATTTTTACTATGGTTGAGCCGGATTTTTCTTACTCTAGGACAATAAAGCTGAGTTCAATCGGTGGTTGTCACTTTGACAATGATGCCAGTTCAGGTTATTGTTACTAGGCATAGAAGGCTGTGGTCAAGATGGCGCTGAAATCGTAAAAGTCACTAGACGGAAGGTTTAATTTTTTTTCTTTGTCAAATATGTTTATCGCGCAGATGCGAAAGAAAAGCAATATTGTTTTCATGTGTTTTAGGTATATGTATACTATTACACTTATTATGATAATTTTAGCATTATGATTAAGGGAATAATAATATACTTGTGATTTTTGTTTTTCAATAGTTTACTCCTAGGCTCTCGTTTTGGCCAGATCAAGACCGACATTGTGAGTCAGGCCGTTTTATTACACAATACATAAAAATAATGATATTTACAAATGTAGGATAATGTTAGGCACTCAATGAACAAAACGTTGAAAACATAGACGGTCGACTTGTCACGCAAGCTAGTATCTCATTACGATGGTAAAATGACAATTAATCAACTGAGAGAGACAATAGGACAAGAATAAGCATAATTCATAATAAAATGTGATAGTACAAAAGGACGGGGTGAAAAGGAAAAAGAAGAAGAAAAAGAAGAAAAGACAAAGTGGAGAGAAACAAAAGAAGAAAAGGTAAGAAAAGAACGGGAAGAAGAAGAACAAAAAGGATAAAAGTCAATACGATAATTACAATCTATCAAAACATAAAAATAGTTCGATCGTTTCAATTATTATTTTTCATTTTTTCTTGTAATTTCAATTGCTTTCATTGATTAACGTTATATACGTTCTGATCGGTAATGATGTGGAATGTTGGAGGTCGGGTTGGTATTAATCATTCTTATAAATCCTTTTCTTCTTTCTCTCTTTTTTCATTTTACGTGTGGAATGTGCTCGCGTAGAGTCCAAAACCTTGAAAGTTAAATCACTTTCACCTAAGTACCTCAACGTATCCCGCCTTAATTAATAATCATTAATTTGTCCTCTTCCCATTCTTTCTCGATTTCCCAAAAATTTCTCCTCTTTCGTTTTTGCTATATTATATTCACTGGCCTAGAGATGGCGAATCCTGGGCATAGAAAAGAAGGAATAGTTAAGATAATGACTGCCGACAGATGCCAGAACGATGTTCCTGAACCTCTGATAGCTTTGACGCCTTGTCATTCTGATCAAGAATACTTAACGCATGAGATTATTATTGACTTCGTTTCAGGATTGGCGCATGAACACAGGTTATATCAGTGTTTTCATATAAACTGTAATTAGATGAATATCTCATAGTAAGATATTAGTCCCAGAAAGAAAGAAAAAAGAAATGTTGCATTGAGACATGATAAAGTATTCGACATCCGTTCATTTTATTATTTTTTTTCTTCCGACGTCCTTCGCTCCTATGTCCGATCGGTCTTTGTTATTTTCATTAATTATAACCCTTACTAAGATCGGTAGACAATACAAATCGCACGATACAACATCGTCTCGAATAAACTCAATATTCAAGTTCACATTACGGCGAATAAAATAAGTTACATGGTGCTTCTTTCCCTTCCCGTCTCTCTCTCTCTCGTCCCTCACTACTCATTACTCTGTTTCTATCAGCTCTTCCGCTTTGCCCCTGCTTTTACTCTGAGTTCTCGTTTAAAATATTATGATACAAATTACAATTATTTGTTATACTTTGGGTTTAAGAGCCGTCAGTCAGCGGGACTATTATAAAATATTAAAAAACCTTATCCATTTTTTCGTCAGTAGTAAGAAATTCGTATCTTCCTTTTTTAATTTTGTTATTTTTTTGTTCATTGTATTTTTGCCTTCCCTTTTTTTCTATACAATCCATTTTTTATACATGTGCACGCCGTTAATGATATGATTCTTTATTACAATTAAATACTAAACGTCGGCTGCGTCCGACTGTCAATCCATAGGAATACCTGGGGAACGTCGTGTGACGATTAGGCTGGTTTCCATTAACAGACGCCATGTCCTTTTTGTTACATAGGAGATGAAAGGTAATTAGGAACGTCTGGGTATTCACGCGAATCGAACAAAAAATCAAACTTAAAGTCGAACCAACGCTGTACATTTGGTCAATGTAACCCTTATTACGCTTACTTATCTAACTCCTTGCTAAGTAATTACTCCTTGTTATTATTCTCTTTTTCCCCTTCAATCCTTCTTTGCCTCTCCTCATTTCTTTCTCTCTCTTTTTCCTTCCTTCCTCCAGTAGGTCATATTCGCGTACCAACGGCCCTTAACCCGTGGATAATATCACAGATGAATGAGTTTCCGTGTTGTGCGTTGCGCATCGCTACCTAAGATTTCTCACGAGGGAATTTATCCTCTCAATCTTCTCGCTGAGTACTCGCCTTTCGGAATCGAGTGTGTTCCTGGACGACAGGAGTTCGCATCGTCGACGCTCCAACTGGATGGCCTCGGATCGTAAGCTGTTCGATTGTGCGGCCAGCCTTGAGGTCTGACTTGCCAAGATCTTTCTTTCCATTGATTTTTCTGTAAGCATAAGCAATTTCGAAAATTCTAATTAGAACTCAATTTGCGCTTGGAGGATGAGACTTTCTATGATGAGATTTTACATACCTTTAGAATACTCTCTATAAGCCAGCATTATGTCCTCGATACCGCTCCACCTGGGCTTCTCTGGTTTTTCGTCCACGAATACTTCCCCGGTGTCAAGCTCCACTATTTTACAGTGCTGCTTCACGCCATTCTCACCAGGCATTGGTAGAATTGGATAGTACGACGCGACGATATTTGAAACTAGGGGTGGTAAAGGCGGAGGACGTTCAGGATGCTGTTTCACTTTTACTCTGTCGAGTAATCTTATCTTCTGCGGTCCTCTTGGTAACGGAGGTGGATTCTTTGCGTAAATCTTGGCGATCCTCTCGCAGTAGGCTGTTACTGTGTTGGTACTCTTACGTTTCTTACGATCTTGCAACACGTACTGCCAGGTGATTTCAGCTTCTGTAATATATTAAGGATTGCATTATAATCTGATTTTACTTATTCAGTATGGTGTGTGATCCATGCAATGGGGTAATTACCATCTCGCTTGCTCGGTGGCATCAAATCGAGGCCAATTGTTTTCAGAAAGCCAACCTTAGGCGCCAAATCCGGACACTGCAACAGCACATCCGGATGTTCCTTTGGGATTGGCAAAATCGATTCTACTATCGGTTCAGTCTCCAAAGGCGGCTCCGGTGGATCTGGATTCAGTCTGTACCTCTTTTCCACTTTGTAGAGCTCCATTTCTACGAATAGACGTAACAAGTGTTGGTTAAAGATCACACTTAATGGCAGGACAAGTGCTTGTTAGATCATACTTAACAATTCTAAAGTGGAGTAGTGGTTAATCCTTACCATTCCTCGTACTGAGTGTAGTCAATCCGAACATGGCGAGGAAAGACAATTTCTTGTCAGAGTAGCGAAGCTTGGCAGGTGGACCCTTGGTGATCCACAAATCCACATCCTTAGCATCGTCCTCGCCCTCGGAATCGGAGCTACAGGCTATACCAGAGTTTTTTTCTCTTCTACGCTTACGCCTCTTCTCGGCGAGGTCAAGGGTCGAAGTAAGCTCCTTGGGTTTTTCAGGCACGAGGAAGGATGACCTCTCTCTACAGGCCTCCTGTTTGACCAGGGCCTTGCTGAGGTCGGGTACGTTCAATATCGGCGACTCGCACTTCACGGAAATCTCAGTCAAATTATTGCACTTGTCGGTAAAGCAAAATGCTGTCTTGAGCTCGCTGCTTGAAAAATTGAGAAGCTTCTCTTGGTATTTTGGTATCTGAAGAAGAACGTTGGACACATTCTGACAGGTGCGCAGCACTTCCTCCGATTTGATACTTTGCATGAGCTGCGCCGTGTCGATGGGTTTCTGAGAGACGTCGTTCAGGTTGAACTTAAGGCTTGACTGAAAGGGTAACGTAGACAGGATGATGCTCTGATCGACCTGCGGCTTAAGATCCATGTCCTGGTTACAGTCCTTTTCGTTGAGACTGAAGCACGCCGGCTGATAAATATTTTGCACCTTGTTTGGCTCGTAAGTCGGATGGGACAGTGGGACTTTGTCTAGGAGCGAATTCATCGTCGAATGATTTTGCAAGGACATCGTCGACGTAGTGGTCGTCGTCGTGGTCGTGGTTGTCGTTATCGTTATCGTCGTTTGGGCTGCGATATTCGTTTGAATATTCTTAACACGCTCCTCGCTCTTCTCGCCATTCAATTTACCATCTCGGTTAGTATCCAAAGCGCCTTTGTGATTGGAGTTCAATATCTTAGCTCCAGTAATGTGATTGTTACCGTAGTAACTTCCGTTTTTCTCTGTTATACAATTGTTGTTATTCACATTTGCCTGAAGTAACTCTGCACGCTGAGACGTGACTACAGCGACCTGCGATTCCGTGGACAGCAGAGAACTCTTGGTACTATTTAAATTTCCCGTCGATCCAGAATTGGGAGTAGGTATATTAAGCTTAGTCGCTGAGTGGTGTTGCTGATGTTGTTGTTGTTGATGAGGCGGCGGAGGCGTGAAGTGAGGAGACTTATAAAGACTTGGAACGTGGGGAACAGGAATGTGAGGATGATGGAACTGTGGCGGAGGATAGGCTATCATGGAAGCCTGATTGGACGGTTGTTGAATGGTGTTTCCTTTACATTCTGTGGTTGCTTCCTGACCCAATTGGGCTTGATTGCCCAACACCTGTTTTCCCGACGGTTCCTGGTGATTGATCACACTCTGTACATGACTATTGAGGAGAGAACGTGGAGGCTGTGGCTTCGACGTGGTACGAAACGAGTCCTCGAAGGGCCTGACAAAAGCAGGTTGCGGCTGGCTGGTAACAGTGGTAGTAACAGTCGTGGTGATGGGGCTTGACGTGGAAGTTGTCATCGCGGATGTCGTCGACTCTTTTGCACTTCTGATAGCGTGTCCATGAGACAGAGATAGGGATAATGGCGGTGACTTCCGAGTGGTACTCGAAGTACTGGTATGACTCGACGGTATCGCACCAGGAGTGGCTAACGTGTGAGTCGCATGAGTGGTCATTGTCCCGCTCCCGGACAGGGAGCTAGTAGTGGTGCACCCTGTCGAATTGACGAGGTTGCGCGGTTGCTGGTAGACGCTGGAGGTCGTTGCGGCTGTGGAGGTCAATGTGGTAATGGTGGTCGTGGCGGTAGCGATACTTATTGTGGAGTGCTGACTAGAATGAATGGTACTCGACGGCACTGGGGGCAAATGCAGAGAAGGAATTGATATTATAGGGGCCAGTGGCATGTTGAGGGGTGGCGGCGGAGGGGGTGGTGGTCCTATGACCCCAGGAGCAAGGGATGGTATGGACGATATCGAGGGTATGGGAGGTGGCCCTATAGGAGCAGAACTTATAGGAGGCGGAGGACCAAGGTTCAAGGGTGGCAGGCTGGGTCCCAAGGGCGGTGGTGGCATTGGAGCAGAGCTGACGGAGCAGATGGAAGCTGATCCCAGGGACGCCGGTCCCATGGGTGCTGCTGGACTCGGGAATGGTGGCAATCTGGGATGGTAGAGGCTTCCTGGATCCGTGGGTACCGATGGGGCTGGACTGGGTTGCTGATCTTGTTCCTTCCTAATATTGGAACTGCTTCCTCCATGGTGGCCACCGCTGCTCGAGGAGTTCCCAGGAATCGAGCCATTCCCGACGTTGCCCGGTCGCTCCCGTTCCCGTTCTCGCTCACGCTCCCGCTCGCTGTGCAACTGAGCCGCTATGGTCGGCTTCCTGGCTGGAACAAATCCCGACACAGTGCTTGGTAACGCTCCGCTAGTCTACTGCTAGGGTGGTTGGCCTCTGCGATCGAAGAGACGATACCGGCGGTTCGTGGCGTGATACACTTACAAGCGAAAAAATGTAAGGCCCTGCACAATACTGTTTTCATAGAGGGCATAGCAATTGCCAGAGGAACAAAAAAAGATACTGTCAGTAGATTTAAACACTTCAGGATACAAAGACGTAGTAGTACGTGGGTACACGCACCTCGAATTCGACTCTTTTGACTTACCTTACGAAACGCTTGTCTCACATTTTTTCGCTCGCTTTTCTTTCCCATCGCAAGACTTTCTTATGGCTTTACTTAAATTCATATTCGTTTTCTCTTGGACTTTACGGATGCTGAGGTTCAATATATACTGATCACGAGCGCTGGGGACGATCGCCTTCGTGATAACGTTCCCGAGGACTCTACGGGCTTCGTATAAACTGTTTATGACGATAGACACAGAGACAGACAGAAAGAAAGAAAAATAAAAGCGGACAATGACGCACTGTGCTACCAGAGAACGATTTCATGATGGTATCTATTCACAGTGACGATTGTCGAATGATGATGTAATGACGAAGAAACGCAGCGACTACGGTCTGACGAGAGAGTTAATCTTCCCCGAGACTGTCCAAGAGAGCGATTCGAAAGGGTCAAGAATTCCAAGAGTCAATCAGAATTTTGATCACTTTTTTTTTGCAATGTTTATTTTCAATTATAGTCCAAATATACATGTTTACATAATAAATTATATAAAAAGGTGGTATAATTTTGACAAAGAAACGGGTCCTGACAAAATTATGTACATCGGTGGATTCAGTCAGTGTGTCAGGGGAAGTGAGTTTGAAAGTTGGCCAGAGACAATTAGAAAGAAGTAGAGTCGACGTGTGTATGAGAGAGATGAGAGACAAGGAGAGATGCAAAAGGAGATAAAGAAAAAAGATAGACGACATATTTTAAACGAAATACCGCAGTCTTCTCTTACGGCAAAAACAAAACTGTACTATCGCACTTTGGTAGGTTCGACGAATGAAAACAATTTAATAAACGAAAACGTAAGAGCGCATTAAATTAAACAAAAAGAAAATAACTGTAGAAGTGTCCCTGCTGTATCTATCTTATTCATATATATCACCCGTTAACAATAAATTCATTGACACCCTGTCAATTGTTACGGATATTTGTCATTCATTCCAATTAAAACGTATTACACAGTCCTTGCTTCACTCGTACGTTCTGCGATATAAACAAAATTTGCTCGATCGGAAAAGGAACGGTAACTGACGGTAACATTGACAATAAAGCCCCCAAGTAACAAAGGCAAGTCAAAATCTAACATACACCTAAAATACTTCAAACGTCCGTGCACTCTTACGTTATGTTGCGTGTACAAGGAGACTGGACTGAGAGAGAGTAGGAGCCTGAAGAATACGATAAGAAATCGTAAGTCAGTCAAACGATGACGTCATCAAGGAAATATATATGTATATATAAAACATCAAATAAAGCCAGAGTGACCATGAATGAGAGAATGAGAGGGAGAAAGATAGAGAGAGAGAATTTCATTGACTGACACTACGTGTCTCAAAGACGCGTTGAGGATGTGACAAAGAGTGGTGGTGGGGGGGTCTGGGGTGTTGTAAGTCCCGCTGTACCAGAAGATGGTACATTTGGTGATATTAGGAGTTTGGACGTTCCCTTAACTAAGAGAACACTTCTAAACATTTCTTTGTTCTTTTGTATTCATTGTTTAACTAGCATTGATCGAGAACGAGGATCGGGATTGCGTCAGAATTCCTGTCTCGTTAATCGACAGGGATTAATGTTTCCAAATTAGATTTAAAAAAAAAAAAAAGTAAAAATAGAAAGAAAAACCATGGAACCTAATCCTTGTCCTAATAACGAGAACGAAGGTCTCCAATCGTGTAAGATCGCCGATCCTCGTGACGGGCTTATCTAAAAAATATCGTAAACCTAACTTTTCATTAGGAAACAATTAACTATGACTATAACTTTCATTATCTCTAGATTAAGATTAGAAGCGTAGTATGTTCTTTTTTCTCTCTCGTGTTTCTCTGTCGTGTTTCGTATTCTTTTCTTCTACCGTATTTGTTCTTGTCGCAGCTCTAACGTAACACTGGAGTGCTACGTCTCTAAAGTGTACAAAGTGTTTTCGCGTCTAACAGTGTTCTATATAGTGTATGTGTATGCGATTCACGTATGATTAGCGTGTGCACGATATCACGCGTGTCTCGATTAGCGTCTTCTCGTTCAGTCCGCCGGCTCTTGGTTACCTAGAAGAGCCGCATATAGTTTCTCAGTCTGACCGTGATAACGGTCTACGAAATATAATCACGCGTCGAAAGTACTCGACGGTCACGAGAACGAGAGTTCAAGTAAACAAAGACAGATTAGAGCAAAGTGACCTGGTAAAGTGAACCATGGACGCTTCTTGGGCTTGATTTATAATCGTCCGTCAGGATTACGAGTATTCTATTAGTAATTGTTAATACGTAATTTTGCATTTATTTCTCTAATTCTTTATTCTTTTCGACGAAGTCATGGTAAAGCCAAGAGAACGAAGTAGAGACCAAGGAGTGAGATTGTAAAGAAGTATTAGTGGGAAGAACGGCGAGGATGTGGAAACGCGTGTGGTGACCAAAAGAAATTCCTCGGCGTCGATGCATACGTGACGTCACGACGCCTTAAGTCGTCGGTCTAACTAAAATTGTCTAAATGATGACCGGGTCAAGGCTTACCGGACGCATGCATACGACAGGACGATGCGTCTTTAAGCCTCTCTTGTAAATCTTCTATGGGGAAGGTACGTGAGAGTCATCCTGGTCGTCCGGTAAACCTCGTGTCGCGATATCGTATTTCTATTCGTTCAATGGAAGGCAGTGGGGGGTGGAGCGACTCGCTCACCTGCAGTATCGGCGGATGCAGGTGCAGGTGCAGGAACCGGAGCCGATGAAGCAGAGTTTCGTACGATTCTTCTCCTTTCCTCCTCCTCGCGCAGCGCAGCCTGCTCGCGAGCTTGTCTCAGCCTGTGTTCCTCCTCTAATTTTAGCCTGAAACAAGATGAAAGTGGGGTAGGTTAGGAGTGGATTCCATCGAATGAGATAATCGCGAAATAATAACATTCCGAAGTAGTTTTACGACTGCTACTCACCGCTCGTGCATCACCGGTGACATCAGCCCCAAGGAAGCCGGTGGCAATATGTCATTATTGTACCTCAATCCATAGAGAGGATACGAGGGTAGCCCAGGAAATAGGGGTGGTCTCAGCATTCCGCACCTTTCCAAGTACAATTGTTCCTCTAATCTGTAAGCAGGAAGTTCGGAACAATGAGTATCAGGAATGTGGCACAAGGGATATCGATAACATCAGCCTATGGAAAGTAAGAGCTAGTTACCTATAAGCGTGCTGCAGGTGTGGCGGTGGATAGAGACCATGATGGTAAGGGCTGTAGGCCGCAGGATCCAAGGCGAAGGCCGGAGGAGCATGGGCCGGATGATGCTCGGGCCGATAAGGTTGAAAACCAGAGCGGGCCAGAAGTTCGGAGGCCGCAGCGACACTGTGTTTGTTAGTTTCGCCAGCCCTGGCGGTTGTATACATTGAGGGTATCTCTTCCTGTCTACGTTCATGCGTCGAGCGTTCCTGAGGATGAAAAAAATTGGCTCTCGTCATCGAAGGGTGCAGGACTCTCTACCTAAAGGGCTCAAGTGATGCGACCGTAGACGCTCGACTAGGTCTTCTACCGGAACCCAGCCTTTTTATGTAAAGCCCTACAACGAGAGACGTTGCCGCTCGGCTGGTTCTCACTGGCATGGAAATCGTTCAGCCCGTTCGAGGTGGCCGGGAGGTTCGACAGAGAGGAATGGAAGAAGGGAGACAACCGGAGGAGAGTTTTATTACGATAGAGGCGGACACAGGCCAGAAATGGGAACAGTGAGAGCTTCAGTCGGGGCTCTTTGATCTCCCGATTATCGCAAGCGAGCTATCCTTCCGGCAGAGCGATTTCCTTTTTCATTTGGTGAAGATTGAACGAGGACGTTTTGCGATTCGCTGGCGGATAATGACAGGTACGATCTTTTATCTCTTTCAAATGAACCTTCGAACTTGAGGTGTAACGACCGTTACGTCGTGATAAGATATCAATGTACTGCTTACCTTTGCAGGAGACGGTCCACGGACTAGGGGTGGCGGCGCCCTGTTCTTTGGACTCGCACGAGGTTCCTCCTCTTGGGGCGCCGGTCCTGCTTGTTTTGCCAAATCTCTTAAGGCTGCTGCGAAGCTTCTACTATTCTGTTGTCCACCGGGACCTGGACCGGGTGTATGTCCCTGCGGTAGGACACCTGAGCTTGGTCTGTGCGATTTGCCAATTGACGTTGGTTGGGCCTTCGTACTGGCTGGTTGGAGACCTAGAACGATAATGATGAAATATTGTATAGTGCATACGCCAATGGCGGGCTACTATTTTCATATATTTCGCCAGGGTACAATGGTACTGATTGAAAGCTGTCGTAGTCTATGGAGCCGATCGACAGTGGTAAAGGAGCTTCATAAGCCAGGACCGTTTTCTCTTTTTTTTAAGACACGACGTCGCATCCGGAGTCCTTTTGTCTCCACTGCTCATGAGGAGGTACGAAATGGAAGGAAAGAGAGAGAGAGAGACAAAGAGCAAAGAGAAGAAAGAAAGGTTGAAAGAACTGGGTGGGAGTTCCTCTTTCCTTTCTCTTTGAGCGAGAAAGCCCTCCGGTTAAAACGAGAAAATAACAGGGAGAGAATGCCAGAGCGCCGTCCTTTTAGTAAGGTTTTCACCCTCTATTCAATTCCTCATCAGGAAAGTGCACGCCTTGGCTGTGACGGAGATCTCCTCTGCTCTACCCCCCTAAAGTGCTCTACTCCGGAACACTATCTCTTTTCATTTGTATTCTGTTCCACAGTCTCCACTGATGCCTCGACAGTCCTACACCTACAGCTCAACCACTACCACTGGTAACCAGCTCGCTATCAACAGTGCCGAACGACCATCTTCTTCATCAGGTGGCGACCGTAGGCGTTGTTCCCTCTCGCCACATCTCGGGACTCTGGCTCTCCGGTATATTTCGATTCATCGATGCGAGGAAAAAGAAAAGAAAAAAAGCAGAGGGCTCGGAATGAAAACGCGAAGAAGCTTCTTCCAGAGTACGGATAACGGGAGATAAGAAGAAAAAGAAAAAGGCCCCGGAGGACTTGACAGTTTAATTACACTTTTGAGGAAAAATTTAAAAGGCACTGAGCCAACTATCCTCGACCTCATCGCCGAGCATTCAGCATTCAGTGAGAAGATTTGAAAACCGCGCGATAGTATGATTTTTGGCTAATTTTGAAAAATTCCATGGAAAACTTCACGATGCTTTTCTACGAGGAGAAGCGACAAGAGGGTTTACTGGCTCCGAAAAAAGAAACGGGATCCGGGGAGTTGACTCTGAGGGGTGTTAAGCGGCTTACAGTCTGTAACCATGGTAACGCCGCACCACTAAGACAGGAAACCTCATACCCGACCACCCTGACCCTCGTCGTCGTTTCCCTGTCTCTACTATCGGCGGCACCCTTCCTTCGGTACTGTACTACTACAATCACCACGAGGGATTACGTCGCTAACACTGTTTTTCTACCAAAGTGTTTTCACCGAGCTGGTCCGCGATAACGCTCGATCCCCCCCCCCCC